TTAGATGAGCGAAGACCAATCACTAATATGATACGGCTCTTGAGGGGGACTTCTTCTTGCTACAGTAACAGCATTGTCAACCCCAAATCAAAAATCTTGTTGGCAAATCATGAGATTAGTTGAAAACCATGGGATTTTTAAAATAAATTTGTATGTTTTTATTTGCTGTTTGATGTTCTTTATCATAAATTCTCAGTGTTCAGGTTTTAGGCTTTTCTTTCTCCAACTGAGAGAGGGGAAACTGTAAATAAAGTGAACAAACCCATTTCTAACGCCAGATCCTTATATCCTAGTGGGGCTGTTATGAAAGTATCGTCATTAACCTTGTATTATTTCAAATACCTATATTAGCAGCTCCTATCTGCAAGCAGGGTCAACTGACAAATACCCTCATTGTATATATTTAGTGTTTGGCTCACTTCCCATTTCCAAGGCTCATGCTATTTAGGGAGAATATCCTCTTTCATGTAGGTATGAAACAAAGGACAGGAGAGAGAAAAATTAAACTTGCTACTAAATAACCTAAGCCATAAAACCCATTTCTTCTACCCCGACTGTAACAAGCTGTGCTTCCTCCCCTTGTGTGGTTTCACTGGTTGCGGTAGTGAAACTGTGTGACCGCTGTGATGGATGGCACAAGTTGTGATCCAGGTGTGGAGATGGCGTGGGTCTGAGTGGGGAGGAAACGCTGGTGTTTACAGCTGACAGAAACAGCGTCCCAGCGTAGGACTGATCCTGGAAAACTTGTCACCTGCTGCCATCTGCAAGTACTTTGTGGCACAGCATCTAATATTGCAGTAACAGCTTCTTAGGAGTGGCCGTGACCTGTTCGTATGGTCATTGGGTTAATTTCACAGTCTGCTCTATCTACTGCTGCAGTTTTTATTTGCAGTAGGACAATGTATGTCTTGAATACTTGCCTCCTCTAGAAAACCATTTTGTTTTCTCTCATTTTGAAGCTAACTGAAGTAAGCACTTGTACAGGGACCATTCCCACTGCCCCAGGTGAGCCGTCCTGCATCTCCACTCATTGCTCAAGCTGACCTGGTCTGCACATGGGTGTTGCTGGAGAAGGTCTGTTTTCACTGAGGGAGGTTTAGGTAAAAACAGTGTGATTAACCTAAAAATCCTGAGATACTTTAAAAATACATATAGGATCCTTCTGGTTTGTGTTTGTCAAGGGTTTTGCCTTGTCTTTCTGAGAACTGGATCCTTGTGCAGCAGTAGGAACCAAGGTCTTCGAGCAAACTTAGCACCCAGAGCTTTAAAACAAACATCCCCGTGCCAAGAGACCTGAGATATCTGTCAGTGCTGGCCAAGCTAACTGTTATTTTTATATTTGTTCTATTAGTGATTTTTACTATTGCTCAAAGCTCTCGATAACCGGAGTCACCTTTGTATTTGTGGAGAAGCAGTCTTTAACAGCTGCCAGCAACTGGCAATTGAAGGCTGTGATCACTGGAGTGGAAAACCGCCAGGGGAAAACCCACTAAAGCTTCCAGTTCTTTAAATGGAAATACTGCTATTCCCCAAGCTACATCTTTGTGAACCTGTTTGTTTGAATGCCACGCTTGCCCTCCCTCCTGTCCCGTCCCCCTCGGTGGGTGAAGGTGAGGTTATCTTTTAGATTCTCTGCGCGGTAATTGGGAGTGATGACAATCCCTCTAGAGGTTCAATCAAAGTCACACATTTACTGAAAACTTGGCCAGATTACAACTGATAGTGGCTTGGCAAAAGTTATCATTATATTACAACAACAAACTCACAACAATTTTACCCTTATGTGCGCAGAATGAAATACAACAAACTCTCAACAATTATTACCCTCATATGCCTAGAACGAAATACAGAATCAGAGATGGAGAGAGAGAGAGAGATGTGAGGGAAAGAAAAGAGAAAGGAGGGGTATCACCACCCTTGGATCCAGTGATGGTCTGTCTTTCTTTTGGTTGTGGTCCTCAGGTGGTGGGCATGCACATGGCTCCTTCAAACTTCTTTTATAGACTTCAACTTCGCCCCAGGGGAATGGATTTGCCTTTGCTGGTGCATGGGTAATCTTTGCTTCAGAAAGTTTGAGAAATGGATCTGGGGTACCAGAGGGGCTGCAATGGTCTTCTAGCCCTTTCCCCCTTTTTCTTTTTGTGCAACCAAGGTATGACCTTTTGTCTGCACAATCGCAGTTTGCGGACACCTACATGCAAACAACAGACAGTAAAAAGTAGGTTCACAAGGCAATGCTCCCTCCCCTTTTTCCTCCTCCACAGGATGCACCCAGTTCCTCTGTTAGTCACGAGGCGGATGTTTGCAGCACTCATTCATTAATCAGTCCTCCACACCTCCGCGGCCCTGTCGATATCCCCGATGTGCCTTGACGAGGGAGATTGGGATCGGTATTGGGAGCTTTGTGTGTGATGAGCTGGTCTGAACCCCGCTGGCAGTGGCTGAGCTGCTGCTCGGGAGTGAGGAGAGGGGTTGTGTCAGCACTCATGCATGGTTCCCCCAGCTGGGCGTTGGCAGAGGCGGTGTTTAAAGTGGTGTAGTGGGAGTAGAGACTTTATTTCTCATACCTGGGTTGGGATTTGCATATTTCTGGTTTACCTTCTGTATGCTTTCGCCCTTATTTTAAGAACGGGCAGGATGAGGCCAGTCAAAGATGATCAGACCAATCTGACCTTCCCCCTTGAGCTGAAGGTGGAAATCTCTCTCCCAAGGGAAGGCCCCCTGGCCTGTGCTCGCTGCAACCCGGCAGGGAGGAGCCCAGCCAGGCTGCTGTGAGGCTGTACGACACCGATGGCGTAGGCTGGTCACCTGTCTTCTGGTCTCATGGCTTTGTGCTTGTGCCTGCATGAAAGCGTTGTTTCCTGAAGACGCAGTCCCACCAGAGAGGTTTGCATGCTGCAGTCTCCTGTATCCTTACAGCCTAGGAAATGTTCACAGGAGCAGCTCCCTACAGGGCTCCAGGATGGGGAGAGAAGAAATCCTCTCCTTTCTCTCCAGGGAAGAGTTGGGGACAGCAGCAGCCAGAAGAGGTGTATCGTCAGCCTAAGTTTAGCGCTTTGGAGTCATGGAAAAACTTGCATTACAATATCAAGTCCCCAGAGAACCAGTCTGGCACGATGCTACTGCTCGTGCTGCCTTGCAGGAGCAGACGCTCTCCTTTGAGACGCACATCCCGTTGCCCTCAGTGAGACCAGTCCGTGCAGCCTGGGCAGACATTTGGGTCATTGGTTGCTTGAGGGCTTATTGACTGTGGTTTACGTATCCTCGTGGAAAGGGCGTGAAATGCTTGGTTGTGGAAAGGCAGATGATACTTTGCTTTGTTTTCCTTTCTCAGCTGGTTGCATCGATCGTCTTCATCAGCTTTGGCGTCATTGCTGCGTTCTGCTGTGCCATAGTAGACGGTGTCTTTGCTGCCAGACACATAGTAAGTGCTTCCAGGAAAACACAGGTCCTGCAATGCTTTTACTCTAGGAAAACAAGTGATGGTGTCCATAATCCTGTATCAGGCTACATCAAAGCCTGTAAATATATGTCATGTGCTGAATGTTGTTTTAAATCATAAGCTTTAGAAAAATATATCAGTTTTTTTAAAAAAATATTTTAACATTAGCAGCAAGCATGAAGGTCTTAAAACTTTGCTTTAGTTTTTTTGTGTATGCTTTATGTGTTTACTCTGTCTCAAAACTATAAGATGTAATGTGAATTACAGCTATTGCCAAGGGACAATGTATGAGCAGTAACAGCTATTGTATTTTAAATGTTAGCAGAGGTAGTTGTTAACGCTGATTGAACCACTGGATGTTGTAGTAGAATGAAGAAATTTGATACAAAGCTCGTTAAAGCGTTGCAGTATAAACAGGAAGCACTTGCAGTAGGTTCTCAGTTTCCATTCAATGACTTAAAAAAAAAAAACGAGCTACTGCTGTGATGACCAATCGCTAGTACAGCGGGATGTGCAAAAGCATCAGTTATTAGTGTAGAAATGAAAAAAACGCAATTCCATTTCAGCTTTTTAATTGGAATTTATAACTGCTGTCGTGGTTTAACCCCAGCCAGC